AAAATATAATGTTTTGCATTCTATAATTTTGCATTTATACTCCTTCCAAACTGAGCCTTAGAGACTAATTTGTTTGAAAGGCAATTTTAAGTATTTGCATCGGTGCAAAAGCTTGAGATTGAAAAAGAATCAAGTGTAAATTCAGACCTTTTGTTCTAAATTTAACTTCTTTTGTTTGATCGCATTGTAAATGAAGTAACTTAAAGCAAAGTAATGTAAAAGTGAATCCGAAGCAAAAGTAGTCAACTAGAATTTGCGCTTTTCTAATTTGTATTCCCATGTAATTGTATTAATACAAATGGTAGTGCATTGCAAACAAATAGAATACAGAGGAATGCAATTAATGCTAGTGAAAATAGGTTTAACTAATGCATCTCTTGGTTTTTGGAATCATTGATTCTCTTATGTCACCGTAGCAAGCACACATCATCATCTCCTTGAATTAATGGAGGGAATCAAAAGTTGTTACAATTAATCTTCTTTGTATTCAAGAAGAGAATCAATGTCTTCGTCTCCCCTGTGATATCAGGGTATTCTGGTCCACTACTCCTTGGTCCCACAGATACAGTGGTCCCATCAAAAATTGGCCATATCTTTCCATGGGCCCCACCTTATCTATTAAAGCCAAGAAACAAAATCAAAATCTGCATAAATTCATCCTCAATTATTTACCAAAATTTCTCCAAACATGGTCTCAAATTTAAAGGATTGGTCCTGGTCCATGCAAAGAGGTATAGGGATGTGGGTCAAGTAAGGTATGGAAATTTGCCAAAAAATTTCAATGACCCAAACCCGAACCAAATCGGGTAAACCCAAAACCTTTACCTTCCCAAGCAAACAAAAAGTGACGTACAAAACAATTAAACCACTGCTCTACCCGAATCAGATCCGACGACCCGGGGGGTCCCAGTGAGCTTTTTAACAACATCAAGTCATCAACATGGTACAAACGAGAAGAAGTATTATATCAACAAGTCGAACAGGCTTTGGAGTCCCATCCATTTGGTTACATTGACAAGGCCCAACTCACAGAAAGAGGAGCAGACCGTGGGACGGTGGATAGGACACATGCGTAAAGAGGGCGCCAACCCAATAACCACAGCCACAGGAGGCCCAGCTCCAGACTCCAGTCCGGTAGTGGGGACTCGGATCCCAAGAAACTCAAATGAAGGCAGCCACTCGTACCAACTTGCCCAATGGATAATCCGAAAGCCTAATTATGCATCATCCATCTACTTGACCAAGTTTAGGGGGGGAGCTAAGATGATGCCACCACGACGTACGAGTGGTCTAAAATCTAAATTGATGAATCCTGGGGTTATGAGACATGTGGGCATACAGAGCTTGACTAAATAGGGACGTAGACCTAATGCTTTGGAGCTCAAATCAAAATATTTTTTAATCTTCATGTGAACTCGGTGGGGTGAGTTTGTGAGGAGGGTGTCAGCTGAAATTAATTGAATTATGTAAGGTTAAATTTAAGCCCTTGGAGGGTTGGTGGAGTTTTTCATGGAGGGGGACAAAAGGCATGTATTTAAGGAAGAGAGAGGCAGGTGATCCTCTTGACATGTTATCTCTCATTCTTTTTTTCTTTGTAGGAAAGCGTGTTTTGGCAAACTTCAAAGAGAGAATACAGAATAGAATGAATGGTCAAGACTGAAGGGGGGATTTTATTTAATTTTAAATGTGGTAGAAGAAAGAGACAGAGGGGAGAGAGAGATAGAGAATGAAGAGAGAGGAGAGAGGAGAGAGGAGAGAGGGGTCTCATAGTCTTGGCACTGTCCAATAAATGCAAGCATTGAATATCCATTCATGGATTATATATACACATCTTTAATTTTTGTTTGTTTGGGGCTTGTGGGGTCAGAGAGACAACCCGAAATAAATGCTTCTTTTGCTTTACAAATTTGCCCCGTGAGGCGTGCTTGTGTCGGGATATCCCCCTACCCCAACAACCGTCCCTTTCTTTTCATGTCACCATGAACTCAACTCAGTCATGAGTCTCACCGCACCCCCACGGCCTCGCCCTCTCTTTCCCTTACCTAACCTCACTCTAGGGTTTACTACGGATATGGGAAAAAATAACCAAGCTCTTGTCTTTGATTGTTGATGGAGGTGACATCACAAAGTCACCCTTTTCAAGCCATTTGGGGATTGTGAAGTGATTAGGCTAGACCTAGATGGGTCGGTTCCCATGATGAATGAATGACCCAGCCCATTGAGTTGATCACGTCTACATAACGAATGTCCACATCACCCACACATCCTCTATCTTTAATGCATTAGATGAGAGACTTGCTTAAATTGGATCTGGAACAATCAACGGACCCTAACCCTAGATGTTGATTTTGGATCATGAGCTCAAGATGGGTGACTCTAGCTCTTGTATTGGGTATGTGTTCATCAAACTGATGGGGCCAATTGTCTTTGATTGATTCTTCAAATGTGGAGTGAAGGGCTGCTGCCACTGCCAAAGCCAAACAATGGATTTTTGAAACCTGCAGCCAATAGAAAGGCAGTTGTGATTATTCATTATTTGAAAGCATGTTACACGTGGGAATTTATTTGCTACTTATTCAGATTGAAATCTGGGGTGATTTCTAAATCAATTATATCCTACTTAGAAAGAAAGCAACTCATGGAGGGGTTTAGGGTTTTAATGGGTTAGTGTAGAATTGGTAAGTGAACATTAATTATATTAAATCCTTCCTTCAGTAAGCAAGGTTTTATACCTAGATACGTACTGATGAAAACCAGGGCCCAACCCCAACCCCCAAAAATAAATAAGCTGATGAGCAAAACTTACAATTGGTCAGTGAGAGGCATTGTCGTGTAGCTGCCGTATTGGACCAATGGAGCCCTGCTTCTGCTTGCATCCCTATTTTTATAGAAAAAAAGTACATGGATCTCATGCTGATTTACAGGTTTAATGCATTAATTAGTGGACTTTCACTTAATGGGCAATGGGGTGGGAGCTGAAATGGGCCGTAAATTAAGAACCCATTTGGTTGATTAAGCCCATGTTTGAACCCTAAGGGGGCTAAGGGACATGCTTTTGAATGATGCATCCTTGTACATCCTGGAATGAACCATGCGTGCATGACCCACATGTGGCCCATGCGTTAGTACTGCGTGAGTAAGACATTGGCATGCATTTAAGGATGGGGTCATCATTACTCAAGTACGTCATCATTGCCATGCCATGTTTTTGACTACGTTTGAATGAGAATAATTTATTTCTTCTCTCCATCTTTTCTGTTCTCTCGGTATTGGACCTTGATTGTGCATTTGTATAGTATTAAATGCTATGCCTCTCTCTCTCTCTCTCTCTGTAAATTCCTTTCATCCTTTTGTTTTGGACCGAAAGGGAGAGGATTTGGGAGATTGTTTACCCGGCCTTTAATTTTCACCACTTCACTCCTCTTACTATAGCTTTTTTGTCTTGTTAAGTTGTCTTCTCCTTTTGGAAATGCTACAAGTTTGACAAGCACTATTGCACCAATACAAATCAGTTAAAGCAATAAATTCAGATATGACACACTTCCAGAGTGAGGTGTGTCTGTAGTCTGTACATGTGTTATGCGTAAGAGAGAGAGAGAGAGAGAGAGAGAGAGAGAGAGAGGTGGGGTATGAACATAAACAGTAGTCAAGTTTAAGAAGATTTCTCTTGATCTTAGTGAGTTTGTATTTCAAATTGTGATCACCTACTCAAACAAATCAAAGGTTGATATCCAACAGAACTACTTGCTGATAATATAGATCTATGAATGGTCTATATATTATATATAGAAGTCTAGCTTTCTATCTTTTGGCGATATATACTGTTAAAAGATGTCTTTTTGGTGAGGAAGAAAAGTTTTAATATATTCAATACAACTGTTCATGATGATACAATAATGAGATCGATTAAGTAATCACATTATCTTGTTTTATTGTGATTAAGATCCATGCAGCTTTACCACTCGATCAGACATTCAACATCAAGAGCATGGAGTTTTCTACTTTTCTTCTCATTATCCATGAGGTTTTTGTGCTCTCTGCTTTTTTTTTTGATAGATGCCTTTTGTCTTTAGTTTATTACATGATTTACCTATTTTTTCTGGTTCAAGGAAATTCTTTTATGTCGTATGCCATGCTTTTATGGGTTATAGTCCTTCCATTTGCATCATCATTAAGGATAAATGAACCCATTCATGAGAGCTACATAAAAAAGATAAAAGTATTAGTTCCAATATTTATGTCCCCTTTTTACTACTGGGAATTTCAGTGGGCAAAAATAGAAGAGAAATGCAAAAGAATGAAACCCAAGGAGAAATTAATTACCCCTTTGAGAGTAGGACAATGGCAGTGAGGAAAGTGATATTTTTTTAATTAGTTTATATCAATTAAAATGTCTTGAGATTTTCAATTGACTGGTTTGTCATCTTTAGAGCCAGTTTTGGTTTTAGGAAGGTAGTTGGCAGAATATGGACATATCAACAACATTTGCCTCCCCATTTAACTGAATAGTAGTTGGGAAACAGAAATATACATATTTGTTTTGGATGATCATCAGTCATCAGGGCAGAACATTCACTTCATAAAATTAAAGGACATATCCCCAATTAGTAAGTTAATAGGATCAAAAATACCATTCAGGCTCAGTTTGGAAAGAGTATAAATACAAATATATACAGTACAAGTACATACAAAATACAAGGTTTTGCACTCTACATATTTGTATTTGTATTTGTACTCCTTCCAAACTAATAAGTCATCATTCATGAGTGCTTTTCTTTTTGGACAAAAGCACAAAAAGGGGGGAGGGATATATTTGGGTAAAAATGATTTTTCCCATAAAAATGGAAATGAAAAATAGACAGATTATATTCTAATGGTTCTGTTCATACCCCTGAACGCATATTAAGGAAGAATATATTATTTAAGGATTTATATGCCATTTATACATATGGGCATCCAGGGAAATTTGTATGTGATTATTCCTTCATCCACGGAACCAAAAACATAGTACATAGTGAATGTTAGGATGTAAATATGGAACTAAGGTGCAACCATGGCTTATACCGATAGTGATCCATCCATTCAACTCTGTAAAGCAAGTGGAGAAAACAAATAAAGAAAGAAAAACAACAACAACTAGTGCGCACGGCGCATGTTCGAGGAGGTCCTACAAATCTTTGTTACTGTTACTTTAGTTCGCAGCAAGAGTACAGTCTCGGAAGAAAGAGAGGTGATAGAAAAGAAGATGGAAACAACGAAAGAGAGAAATTTAGAAAACCAAGAAATGTATATATGGAAACTATTCATATCAACCCATATTTCTTTGATGCATTTCATCTCTCTCTCTCTCTCTCTCTCAAAATCATTCTTTCAGACCTGCAAGACAAACTATCAATTGGTTAGTATAATTTCTACAGAAAACGAAAAGAAGATTTGAATTGCTCATTCATGGATATATCTCTAAAATCCTTTAACATACATATTGCACTCTTTATCATATCTCTCTTCCACATAAAAAAAGGATACAGAAAACTAAACAAACAGAGAAGATTATAAAGCTTACAGAGATTAATTAAAGATCATCACTAGGGAGATAATTAAAACCGACTGGACTGGAAATTTTTACCAGTAAGATGAACTGGGGTAAGTATATGATCCATAGAGAGGTAACCCTAAGAGGGTCCAATGCTCCGGAGATCGTCACCACCTGCGGCTCTAGCCTGCTGGAACTGACCCAACTGGCCGAGGCTTGCTGATACGTTCATGGCGACGAGGCTTGCATCATAGGCACTGTTAGCATCAAAAGCCCGGATCATTTGCTGTTGATCCCTAGTAAAGAACTGGTGATGATGGTGGTGGTCGCGGCCACCACCCAGAAGCCCAATCCCAATCTGGGGGTGGTTGTGGGTGCTAGCGGCCGCAGCGGCAGCCGCGGCAGCGATAAGGCCATGGCTTGTGATGCCAACGTTCTGGTACTTGGAGAGCTCGGACTTGGCACAGCTAAGGTCCATCTGGAGCTGGCGGAGTTGGTGCTGGAGCAGTGAGATGACACCGACGCAGCCATAAACGGGGTCTCGTAAGCGCATGTCGGCCTCATAAGCCAGTGAATTCACAGCGTCCTCGCGCTGGTGTGGGTGCAGTTCATTTAGCAGCTTCGTTACGTTGCTTGCACCGAACACCTTGTGTACGTTTGCAAATTTCTGTGGCTGGTCCGGTGGGAAGTACGGTGCAAACACACACTCCGGATGGCATTTACGCCGGAGAAATTTACACGCGGCACAGGGAGAACTAGACGACGATGCCATCGATCACAGTAGTAAGTCTTATACAAATATTCTGTTCGAACTCTTTCTTTTTCTCTCTTTTTTGTTCTTTGCTGCCTTCTTTTGGTGCTTTGTGTTACAGGTGCAACTGCAAAACAAAGGACCCGCATGAACACCCAGAAATAAGTCAAAAAACACAATTCTGATTTACTGTTCTGAACTGTTTGAGATTGGGAACAACTTGAGACATAAAAAAACAAAATAATTTTGGCAGAAATGCAACTTTTCTTTTCTTTTTCTGTTTTTGTTTCCTCCTCTTTTTAAAAGAAAGTGGTAATCAAAGAAACAGAAGGATCGCAAATTTTAATTGTGCCATGATCGCAGTAACAAACCCTAAATTAAGTTCAAGGTACAGGAAGTGGCAAAAGTTGAAATACCGCACTAAAGACTGTCATTTTCTGCAAATTTAACTTGCTTTATAGTAGCAGAGTTCAAACGTTTTCAAACAAAAAATACAAACTCAGAGAGAGAGAGAGAGAGAGAGAGAGAGAGTTACAATCTCAGCTCGGCAACCAATGACGGTGAAGCGGCAGGAGCAAAGCTGTACTTCAACAGAGAAATGGTGCAATTCCTGCATCACAGAAGGATAACTGAATGTCAAAGATCTTCTTCTACTAGAAAAGAAAAGGAATAAAACATGAAAAATCAAACTCTTGAGTTTCAAAAATGAAAAACAACAATAAAACGAAAACAAACAGAAGATGGGAAAACAAGCAGAGTATAGAGTCGCTGAAGATTACGTACCACCTTCAGAGACTCTATACTCTGGATATGCAGCCTTCTTGGTATGTATATTATGTTTTGATGAATGCAATTCAAGGTTTCTCGCCAGGCTTCAGAGATTTGATTTAGAGATCGAATCAAAGAAAATCTTCTTTCAATCTTCTGGAGTTCGCTCAGAGCTAAGCTGGAAGCCTGAGGGATTGAGCTGTAAAATAAAATAAGAAAACGGTGAAGAAATATGAAAGATATAAGAAACCAAATACAAATATTCCAATGGTAAACACAGGATGAAATATATTCAGATCTTCTCTAGATGTCATAAGATCTTTCTCACCCTTGCTCGCCGGCCGGAACCCAAACCGACGACGAGATTTCGGGGTTGTTCCAAAATGAAAACAGGACGATTTTTCGGGGTTCGAGGGAGTACCGCAGCTGGTTTGTAGATGGGATCACGTGAACGTGAAGTAAGAGGAGAATTTAGTTGCTCTTCACTTTTTTCCGAAGCAGATCTTGCTTGAATTTGATAAAGGTTTCTTCGTTTCACTGTAAAGTTTGGATCTTCGGAGGAATAAACTACAATAAGAACAAAAAATCTCAATAAAATAAAGCACTTAAAAAGTTGAAAATGAGATCTATGATGCTTAGTTTAGTTCTTTCTCTCTCTACCCAAGTCTTCACCCGCCTCGATTTCTTCGGTCAAACGCCTTTCTTTTTTCTTTTATCTAAGCTTCAGCTCCAATATTTCTTCGCTCGCCCGCCCTTCGAAGTTCGAAGTTCGATGTCTGCTTAGCTTTCTAACTCCTCTTTTTCCCCGGTTTCAACTCCCTTTTCACAAACAAACTGTCAAACACCTCTACAAAGTCATCTTTCTCTCTCTGGTTAGTCTTTTTTTTTTTTTCTTTTGGTGTCAACTCTTGACCCTGGAGCTGGGTTCTCGGGTATTCACGCAGATTTCTCCTGCTTCTTGCTCCGGAATTGGTTCTGATTCACCGGAAAACACAACCCAAAAGCAGAAGGCATAACGAGGGAATATGTAATATGGCAAAAGAATATGACGACGGAAGGTCGGCAGGGAACAAGCACAGAAAGATGATGAAAAGATGAGGAAATGAGATGAGGGGTGCAGCGAAGACTACGAGAAGTAAGAATATTTTAAGAGAGAAGGAGACAGAAAGAGTACAAAGAAGAGAAGAAAGGAGAAGAGAGTCGAAAAAGAGGAGGGGGGAGAGCAAAAGGCGAGTGGTGGGTGAGTGGGACTGGTGCTGAGAGAGAGAGAGAGAGAGAGAGAGAGAGTTGTTATCGGCGGGGACGAAAGAAAAGAACTCTCTCCCCCTTGAGCTGAGCCGAAGGAGTCGCGGAGAAAGCTTACTCACTCTGCCTTTGCTCACTGGCGCTCTCTGCTACTAGCTTACAATACAACTCTGCCCTCTCGCTCTGTGTGGTTGTGTGTAGGGACATATATTAGGACCAGAAGCATATGATTACATGACCTCCCCCTTTCTACCGCAGGGTCTATCTTAAATTTGTATTATATGCTGGATTGCTAATAGATGAGTGGCACGTGCTCAATGCTCGTGCAATCAGGAGAGAGATGGGTATTAGACTTTTAGACTACTAGTGGAGAGTCTGGAGTCCGGAGAGAGAGAGAGAGAGGAAAATAAAGTAATAAACAACGGATACATGGTGGTCTGGACGTGAAGCTAAGGCAAGGCACGTATTATATACATGCAGTAAAGGTCTGCAAAATGATGATTTATATATCCATTAAAGAGGTTCTTCATCTGACCTGATCCGGCAGTCCAATTGGTGATCCTTTGAACTAAGGCTGCAAATGAACTAGATTTAATTAATCTGATTCAAAAAATTTGAATTTGATTTGTTTAAATTGGATTAATCCATTTATTCGTCATATCTAATTTAGATATTATTTGATTTAACCTAATAAGATCCATTTATTCTGTGTAACCAACTCCATATAGTTGGGACAAAAGATTATGATGATGAAAAATTATTAGCAAGTCCGGGTTTATTCTTTAGAGTATTCACACTGACCTCATAGTTTGTATCAGTCGCACATCCGGAACATCTCCCTTGTATATTATTATTGATGGGAGATGTTCTCAATACATGATAGCATGTGGTTGTGATTATTGTGAGGAGCGCTAATATTTAGACAAACTTATTTTTCCATTTAAGATATATATATATATATATATATATATTTTTTGTTTTATGTATGATATTATAAATTTATGCTAATTTTATATAAATCTATTGAATTTTTAGTCAAATCAAATATATGTAAATGAATCAAATCTGAATCTATATTTTACCTATATATCAGCTATCAGATTGGATTCAAATCTCTCAAATTCTTATTGTTAAAACTAAAATTTTTAACCAAGGCTATTTAATTTATTGGGTTCTTATGTTCTACCCAATTTAGAGTTTTATATGTATAGCTCTATTTGTAACACTAGGACAGTTATACTACATCATTTCCATACCTTAGTTCAAATCAAGGTTTTAGTCAATAGAAAATTTTCTTCAAATGCGAAGAATTGAAATGATGTGATTTCCAATTTATACGAAATACAAGGGAAGTGAGAGGATTATTTATTTGGGAGTGAGGTAAGAAGCAAGATAATGTTGTCTTTGTTTTATATGACAAGAAGGTGGTGCAAATTTTGCATTAGTCTTCGGGATGCAAAATTTGCATGAGACAAAATATACACAATATCTTATTTTGATCCTCATCTAACGATCAAATTTAAAAATAAGTGTTTCCTGATGATTGACTCATTATTACACATAGATTAATATCAAGATGCATGCCTAATGGTTCTAGAATCATAGAAGCAAAGAAAGGTATTGCCTTTGTTTTGGAGGTAGGGTTTATGGGTGTTTGGTGGTGTATATTCACCTTCGCTAGTATATATGTGATGCATCGGAATATATCTCTACATGGCCACCTATAGAGTGCCAACTAAGAACTAGGTCATTGGATTGTTTCTTCAAATAGGCAGCCCATAGATAAAACATCAATTTGATGTTTCCCCCAACACCTCCATGTTTATATATTTAGGCTCAGTTTGGAAGGAGTATAAATACAAATATGTAGACTGCAAAACATTATATTTTGTATTGGGTTAAACCATGATAATGGAAAGACATGATACAGTGAGAACTTACAACTAATCAACCCGCATCATAAAAGTTAGAACCAACCAGGTGGGTTTTCACCAAAATTTCATGGGGGTTATGATTGGTAGAAGCCTTTCTGACATCATAGATTTTTCCTTTTGTATTATTTTGTATGTATATTTGCAAGGTATATATTTATATTTGTATTCTTTGACGTTTTGTTCGGTTTGGAAAGAATATAAATATAAATATATATGATACAAATACATATAAAATAATACAAAATATAAGATTTTGTAATCTACAAATTTGTATTTATACTGCTTCCAAATTGAATAAACTCAAAACACACCCTAATGTGACAACATTTGAAATAGAAACAGCGACAGTGTATGTTGGTCAAAATGTAATAATTTTGAGAAAGCCATAAATAAAAAAGTTAAAAGGTAGACAAAACGTACCTGATCATCCGGGGTACTCAACATGCTTGTTCCCCAATTAACAGAATCTATCTTATCAAATAAGTAAAAAATTAACAGGATCTGGGCCCATAAACCTTGGACCCAACCATAAACCAGTCCATCTTGGGCCTACATATTTAAGACGTAATAAGAATTTGGTCCAACATCAGACCTGATTGTAAATCAAGTACACAGAAAACACTTGGTACATGAATCTTGCGAATAAAGCAATAAAGTTTAGATTTTATTATTTAAGGAAATTTCTACGTACCCAAATTAGTTCAGATCATTTGGCGGGTCCGGGTCTAGCCCTTCGTATCCGATTTTGAACTTGATGATAACACTTGGAACAGATGCATATAATAGGATCCGGGTCTGGATATATGTATGAACCCACACAAACCCAACCCATATCTGACATTTATGTTTAGAATAAACCAGAAGCATTTTGGGTTGTAGAATTGAAGAGTAGCCAATCAAATACCTTGTATGCTTTTGGGAGAAACCCAAGAAGAAGAATAAATTTCTGGAATCGTTCATTGAGAAATGTGAGAAAAGGCTGCCTTCTTAGACAAGAAATTTTTTTCTGAGAAAGGCAATACCAGCTAATCTTCCCACACATTTGTATCTCTTTTTGGATATCTGTTACATATGCTCAGTTTGAAAAGAGTATAAATATATAAAAATACATACAAAATAGAAAGTTTTACACTTTACAGTATTTTTATTCCTTCCAAACTGAGCTATAGTGATAGTTGCAATGGAATTTTCTCAAAGGATGGAGGTGGTGAAATTAGAAGAGAGCATTTGGTTAAGTAGAACTGGAGTGCTAGCCTAAGAAGCAAAGGAGCCTCAGTTTGGGCTGCATTTCTAAAGAAAAAAAATTCCTGTCTCTGAGGAGACGACTCTACCACTTTTCCATTGGCCAAATATCAATGAATGGGATAGTTTGTGGCAATATTGATTCACAGCCTCCAAATCCTTGAGAGTATATTATCAAAACTTGTAACTTTTATTCTTTTCTTTGTCCTATGTTGAGTGATTGTCGCTATAAATTCTACACAAATTAATCTATGGCGAGGCAAGCATTCTTTGTACTCTCTATCCTAGATTTTTTTTCCTTTTTTTTTTTTTTTTTCTCAGGGAATCTTTGGTTTCATCCACATCTCTGAAGGGGACTAAGGTTTCATCTGACATTGTGAAAGGGGTAACTAATGAGATGGGTTTTTTATGAAAATTCACTGGGGTTTTGATTGGCGAAAGCCCTTTCGGAGTTACACGACTATGATGCCAGGAAGACATCATACCGGAAAAACTAGTAATCAATTGACAGTTTAAAAGTCCTAATCAATCAATTGAAAGTCCTTTCAGTATCATGTCTTTCCTACGTTTATAATTTTTTCTTATCAATAGTACTTGAACTTTCCAAAATTCAATCCTCCACTCTACATTATAATTTTTTCCTCTCTTCCAGACAAATTACTTTGGTCCCTAATCATGAAAGATGCCTTCTCAAGCAACCAAATAATTCTTCTCAACCATCATTTCCCTGGAGAAGAGTGTGGCTCTCTTTTGTTATATCTAGGGTTTTTATCTGTGGGTAGATTAAAGCCTATGAACAGCACCAGAAACAAATATACTTGGGTTGATATCAAGGTTTATAAAACCAAACCGGACAACAAACCCTTCAGAGGTCCAGTTCTCAGGTCAAAGGGTCTAATCGTTTGATCTGAATGAATGATCTATTCTAACAAAAAAACAAAACAAAAAAAAAACAGTCAAAAACCATTGAATGGTCCAAACGGTTTGAACACCTGGGCCAGCGATTTACTGACTAAATCAACGATTTCAGGGTAAAATGGAATTGGTCAAGTGATCGATTCCCAATTTTTCCAGTCCAACCATCTGATCCGGTCTGATCCGGTTTTAAAAACCATGGTTGATATGTATGCCCCCTCATGTCTATGTTTTATATATGCCCCAGGGATGGGAAACAAGCCCCCTTCTCTTCATCAATTTTGCTATCACTACTTGCCAAAAGTTGGACCTCTTGTTGTGCACCACTAGGAAGTATTGGAAATGTTCCGTCAGTAGAACGAAAGGAGTCCCTATCTTAGAAGATAAAATCTATTCGAAAGATTCGAGTCCTATCTCAAAATATTTGTTATCAAAAAATCCCCCTTTGGAGCTATGTGGGGACTTGTGATCTCTACTCTTAGCTATTGAATGAGCACCATAAAACAATTGGGACATTTGAACTTACCAAAAGTTCTTTAGTCAAGGACCTTCCTTTCAAGTAAGGGTGTAAATTGGATTGGATTTGGTCCAATCAAATCCAATTCAATATGAATTCATTACAAGTGGACTAGGTTTAATCCAATCCAATGAATATTTTAAATCATTTTGGAATGGTCCAATTCAATGTCTAGACCATTCAATTTATTTAAATTGGTTTTAGTTTAGATTTGTTCCAATCAAAACCTGATTCATTCACAATTGTGTTTTTATCTTCTATATATGAACTGGATATTGGTTCAACCTGATCCAATTCAATATAAATCCATTACGACTGGACCAGGTCCAATCCAATCCAATAAATACATTGGACCATTAAGTCTGGATTCGTCCAATTCAACATGTCTTATTGATCCATCTAATTTGTCCAAATTGATTTTGATTGGAATGAATCCAATCCAAAATCGGTACATTGATACTCCTACTTTCAAGCTCCCATGTCATTTACCAATGACTAGCATGCTCAAATTACAGCTTGAACCCGAACTTTATGTATACTTGGGCAACCTGACCGAACCTGAACTTAATGTATACTTGTAATCATATATTTGTGTCATGCAAGTGTCACCAACTAATGGGTGGCTCAATT